AACTGAGGGATGAAAGACAAAGTTTTAAACAATTTGTCCCTGATTTGAACGATTTATGTCGTCGCCGGACAAATAGATTTATCCGTCAGCAAAACACTTCGCTGTCATCATTTCCAATACGGACCTCTGTTTCTGCATAAAGAACGAAACAAACATTTGAAAATTCTTTATTTGCTGATTTAGTTTGGCAAATATCACATTGCAAAGGCCTACCTGAAGTCTCGCTTCAAAATCAGCGAATTCAACAATTTTTGATCGGGGTCCAATTTTCGCTACAAAATGGAAAGTCTCTTCGGATTCTTAAAAAAAATAACCAGCCAGGCAAAGCAAAGTTCCCCAATTTCCAAGGTTAACCGCCATGTTAACCGTCTGGTGCTCGTCTGCAATGGAGTTATCCGCTGACAATTCCAATGAGATTGCGTTACAAGTTGTGAAAACATCGTTTCGATTTCATTAAAGAGGATGTAGGGGGAGTAGCTTCCCTTCCCCCCCTCGTCTTCGACCTGCTGTCGATACGATAATGTGAAGCATTCTAGAGGTCTATACAGGCCAATCTCAAAAATTATTTTCGCTTTTAATTGGATGTGTAATACGATGAGCTCGATGATTTTGTAGCTCTTTGCCAGCGTGATTCTTTTACAAACTATTTCAGAAGATACGTAAGCTGGGATTCCTCCTCCTCTCTTCTTTCTGTCGTTTTTATAGAGCCCGTAACCAGGGATGGGAAATTAACTGTTAGGATAGATGGAGTCAATTTTGGATTCGATATCATCCGTCTGATGAGATGATTCTGAAAAGCTTTAAAAAGAAAATCAGATTTTGCATTTTGATTCTAAAGTAGATTGTTTCGGGAGGACAGCTGGAAATAAATAAAGTCATAAGAGACTGGCTGGAAGAATCTGGCTGGAAGAGTCCCAAGCTGGTGTTGTTGTGGTCTATGTTTTTTCTTTTGATATAAGGTCTTACAACCAAACATTTATTACTATTTTTTGTTCTCGGAATGTATCCTTCTATAGTTGTTAATGATATCTGAACAATGCTGTGATGGAAAGCTTCTGTCGTTTTTTCATTCCTCTGCTACCAATGCGCCGTTTTTTTATTACGCTCTTTTATTTTCCTGAATGCTTGGAAAAGTCTACACAAACACAAAAGTGAAATCATATCACTAGGTTTCAAGTAAACATTTGATGTTACAAAAAATATCTTCAGTGCAACCGAACAAAGTAAGGAGCGATTACTTTTTCTACTTACCTTGCCGTTTTGAGAAAAACAAACGGAATACACCTGCAGCAGAAAACAACATCTTAGTAATTCGTGCAAAGTCCTCTACATTACTAACCTCTCCATCCAGGCGTTCTTGTAAAAACTTATTCACTCCACCTTGGCGTGCTGCCCCACATCACTACCCTCTCCATCTCCGTGTGCCTTAACTAACTACCCCCTCCACCCTGGTGTACGTGTACGTAACTACACCCGCGCCCTGATGTACCTATACATCACAACACTCTCCGCTCTGGTGTGTCTGGCATAACTAACCTCTTCGCCCTTGTGTGCCTTTACAAAACTAACCTTTCCACCCTGGTGTGTTTGTACAAAACTAACCTCTCCACCCTGGTGTGTTTGCACAAAACTAACCTCTCCCTGTCCGCACATAACTAACCTCTTCACTCCGGTGTGCCTGTACATACCTCTCCACCTTGGTGTGCCTGTACATTACTAACCTCTCCATCCTGGTGTGCCTGTACATCTGAACATAACTAGGTAACCTCTCCACCCTGGTATACCTGTTCAAATGTTGCGATACACCGTTCACTGACTCCATCCCGGATTTACAGCAAATCAGGACACGTGTTATCATGTGTCAAGGAATATTACATAGCCTTACGGGGTGATCAAGTAAATTTTACTGTGACAGAAACAAAATTTTTCATAAATAATGACAGGCCCTGGGCTAAGAATGGCTGATGGGTAACAAATGTAGAGTAAGAGTTCTTGTCAACAGCTCACTCGTGTGACTAAAACTTGTCAAAAATAAAATTACTCTCACCATATTAATGAGCCTCTCTATGCATGGGCATTTCCGAAGAAATCGAAGACGCTAAGATCACCGCAGATAAGACAAAGATCCGAAAATTGAAAAATCACTGAAAAGGAGAAACTGCTAGTAGTCTGCCCCTTTGAGAAATAGAAGTTTCCCGAGCGTTTTTTTTTGGTATCATTTCATAATCAGTATGAGCTCCTGTGAAATGATATTTCGTTAAGATTGTAGAAAACTTAAATGTAAATTAAAAGATTGATTTCTTTTCATCTCTCCGGATTGTAAACCTGTGAAATAGGTTTTATCACTATGTTATTCGTATACGGCTTACAGATGCTGGGATTGTTTAGGAATTTCCATTATTCTCGCCCCGGTTTGTGAAAGTCAACCCTCAGCCCACTCCCCCTCGATCCTCCGGTTCCTATCCTTTACACCTCTACATTAATATCTGTATTCTCCACCGTCACTAATCTCTACATTTCCTATGGTAACCACAAGGCTGGTTATTTCAACAATTTTCCCCTTTAAATTTCATAATGGGGCTCAATGTTACCCTAGAACTTTCTTAAAACTTAAATGTGTTCGAATATGCCAAGAAAAACAGACGCCCTCTGCTAGCTTACGGAATGCGGTATTGTAAACAGTTTCGCCATGGGAAATGGATGAGAATTTTAAAAGGAAAGCAGGGTCAAAAACCAATCTGTCGTCGTTAGCTATGCCAGACTAGCTCATTATACTGATTTCCTGATCGAACACGGTGCTAACTGCTAAAATGTGCTTGGAATTCCGGGGTTAACCACAGCTTGCCTAATTACAGTTATGTCGCGACATAAATGCCGATGTTGCGATTTTCACAAAGTTCAGTCTGGTGTTTCCGTGTGGAAGTGAAAAGCCCCAAACTATTTTTATATCCCGGAAAACAATACTATTTCCACTTATCATGAGCTTAACCTGAAGCGATTCTGAGTTATACCGCATGGAGAAGATGATAATTGAACATTTGCTATGATTTGCGATATTTGGATTTTAAAATATTGGTGATTTTCAAAAGCGTTCCGTGAGCTGTTATTTAAATGAAATAGTCCCGTTTTAGACTTAAACCGCACCTCTGGCCTTCTGATACAAATTTATAAAATTGATACGAGTTTGCTTTCTTTTGCACTTTTCATGAGAAAAGTTTATTTGCCTCTACTCGGGACACTGATTTCCACCATTTTACGGCTACTTATGCTCGTTTCAGCTTTAGTGAATTTTCTAGGATAAAGAAGCGAGTCTGGGTAAAATAAAATCATTACCACCTTTCTATGTTCACTATTAAGGTACCTCTCACTGAAATATGAGGATAGTCATTTTTCGGTCGATGTCCCACCTCTTACGCAGTCTTGAAAAAAGTCGCTCTTTAGCGTCAAACTGCGAGTTGAAAACGTGGCTGTGATATTGATTCGATTCTCTCATTTGGCGCTCAGTATAAATAACAAACGAAGCTATTGCTGTTTTATTTTTTCTAATTTTTATTCAATTTTGCGATTCAAGGAAAATCCATTGCCTGACTCGTGAATTCCGCGTTAAATTACACGTGGAAACCGATATCGCACTCATCAATTTTCGTGATTCGTGATATTGGTTTTCGCGTGCAATCTAACGCGGAATTCCCTCGTCAGGTAATGAATTTTTCCATAGACCAGGTGCCTAATTTATCATATTTGAGGGTCCGTAGGAAGTGTGATACCATTGAAATATTTTCGGTCCACTCTTACGACTTACTTCAAAGCTGAACCTTCACCAGAGAATAGCGAGTCACCCTCCGGGCCTTTCGTCCGCGATAAAAATCGATCAACACCGCTACAAGTAGTATCAATCCTACAAGCGCCATAGTGGCAGCCATAACTGTCATCACAAACACACGCCTACTTCTCTTTGAAAAGGCTTCGGCAGTGGTGCCCTCAGCCTCGCCATTTTGCGCCGAATCGCCATTAATCTTCGTAAGAGCTTGTTCCACGACCTCAGCGTATTCCCTGCTTAGGTACGTTTGCGTGAATTCTGTCATAACCTCTTGAAGTTTTAAACACTGAGAAAAGTTTTGCTGCGCGCATTCAAACAGCTCTTGGCATACCTGAGGCAGCCGATCGACCCAGTGCGGTACAGGTGCTGTCTCGTTGTCGTGGTATAGATTCACGTCAAACCAGAAATTTCCAGTGAGGTCGATTACGCGGCGTATTGAGCCCATCAACTGAAGATAATCGCGCCAACTCAACTGGAGTGGACGGAATTCTTTACCTAGGGGCGTGAACGTATGCCCGGCTGAGTTCACCACAGCATCACAATCTGTCGCTAGTATAAACACAGATTCTGTGCACAGCGTTCCATTTGCGCCATACAGGTGGACTGTACGCTCTACGACCATCTGACCGGAAGTGAATCCGTCATACGTAGTCTGCGTCTGACCATGTGCTGCTGGAAATACTGCCAGTACCTTGCACCACGCAGGATTCTTGTCCCTTCCGGTGATTCCGCGTATGACGTCACCGACAGCCAACTGCGATACACGGACGAGGCGTTTAGTCTTTTCTTCGACGCGCATCAGGCCAGAGACTCCGTTAGCACTGGATGATAACTGTTTTTTCTTATCATCACCTCTTCTTAGGGCTTCGGCATTTTTCATTTGGTGGATGACCACCAGGAATAGAAGAAAATACTTCATGGTGATGTCAACACCGAATTGTAATGAAAATATTCGAGAAACAAACAGGAAGTGGTCGATTTTTCCACCTGAAGGAAATGATATTCAACAATTCGGTTAATAACTGTAAAATACAGTGTGGTCACTTCGTTCAGAAAAATCATGTGCCACAATTTTGAGTATAATGCTTAAATCAGAGCACATTTGATAATGCGGACATAAAGACTAAACTTCTTATAAATTTCCCTTGATGTAACAATTCAACAAGAGATAAATTCTGTCGCGTAAGAACTGTCTACAGTGATCCTGTTTTTCTGCCTTGCATTTTGAGAATTTAATCCAGTAAAATGTTATGTTCTAAACTTCAGTAAAACTCTTTTTCTTACCTAGTTTAACTGTTGTTGGTAGTTGATGGAGGTTGAGGGTCTCTTAAAGCTATTGTTTTGAATTAGTAAACTGAACACGATTTTCGGCACAATACTATGTTTTCGGGGTGATGCTTAACTAAAAGTAATTGCTCAAATTTTGGAGCTTGATTCATCTGACCCAATTGCTCGCACAACAGAGCTGCTGTACGATGAATCAATTAGATCATCAGACTCTGAAATTTGCTGACTGGAGCTCAGTGTTGTACACGCTTTGCTGTTCTTTGACAGCTGTAAAAAGGTTCATCACTGGTTTAATCTAATGTACTACCGCCTGTACGAACATGATTAAATCCCCGTGAATTCTACCCCATACTGTGTGACGCTTAACGCGATGGACGATACAAGAACGGTGTTG